CAACGCACGGTCATTATAAATACATTTAGAGAATTTTAGACTGAAAAGATACCCCAAAAGATACTCCAAAAGATACCCCAAATACAGCTATAATTACCGTATACGTTGTATTCGGGGGAAGAAGGTAGCCTAAGTACATGTCCGGAGGCATTCAGAATCTGAGAAATCAGAATATGATCTAAATAAATAACCTTTGACAGCCGCATAAATTCGGCATAATGCAAAAAACAACAACTTTTTTTTTTTTTTTCCCGAGGAACACATTCATTACGGATTAACTACACAACTCTCTACATGCATTTGGACGTTTTCTGGACCAGTTGCATTCGGACGAATCCAACATGTTGAATGTCTCCGTCCCAGAAAGCATCCAGATACACGTAGAGTGTTGTGTAGTGGATGGAGCGAGGCCCATTGTGGTTGTTTTTTTTTTCGTGTGCAAGTTCGTACGCATATCTGCGAGTGCCTATGTTGTGTGAGTGTGCCTACTCCGAATCGATGTGAAACTCAGAAACTCAGAAACTCAGCTGCAGTCCAAAACGCGCGAGTGATAAACATCCACTCAGAAGTTCATGCGCTTAGAACGAAAAGTGTGGTTACATATTTGCAAGTCTTTTTTCTGTTTGTTTTTACTTCAACAAAGAAAGAAATGTGTGCCTATTCTAAGCTGCAAAAAAAAGGAGCGCATCTGCCCGCAATGACGATCAGATGCATATGCAGCTAAGCATTAGACTTAAGACCGAGATGGATGCACGCACTTATGGCAGGTATGTACTACTTAGGGCGTACTCACACTAGAACTTTCCTGCATGTATTTCTCCTCAATTAAGCCCAGATTCAGTCGGAACAGCACAAGGACACCCTCAGAGAGGGAGGGTACTTCGGATGTTCATATATGCTGCATGTACTTAGCATCTACTTAGCATCTACTTAGCATGTACTTAGCATGTACTTAGCATGTACTTAGCATGTACTTAGCATGTACATGGCATGTACTTTGAGCCGAAATGTAAACACTTACACTGCGCTGTCAAACCTTTCTTTTTCGAAAGCAAAAAATAGATTCAGGACATCACATCTGTTAAAACGGGAATGATACAGAGAAAACATTAGCATGGCCCCTGCGCAAGGTTGACAGGACAAAGATAAACCGAGAAATGGTCCATTTTTTCTTCTGTTTTTTTAATCATGAAATTCATGCACATTGACAAAAGTATAAGAACATCAAATTCATGATTTTTTTAATAATAAGACGTTCATAAAATTCATCCATCCTGACAAGTTCATGCACATTGACAAAAGTATAAGAACATCAAATTCATGATTTTTTTAATAATAAGACGTTCATAAAATTCATCCATCCTGACAAGTTGTGCCAATCATACCGAGTACACGGATCAGAAATCCATACACTTGCTATGTACTCAGAAACAAACTGACTCTGACATATCTGCCGGTGCTTCCAGAATAGAAGAGGCATTTCTTCTTCTTCTTCTTCTTCTTCTTCTTCTTCACACCAAAAAAAAAAAAACAGGTCAGTGGTGAACGCACTACCTCTGACATGTCCGCTGTCAGATAGAACAGAGACGAGAGATGGGAATGGAGCAAAAATGGGAGGGGCCAGGAGAGGGCTTGGGCAAAGGAGGGGTGGGGAGGGGTTGGCAGTTGTTTGTTGGGTCCGACTCCTATCTATCAATAAGCATTCATATAAATATATGATTAAAAATAAACATATAATTAAAAAAGAATTCATGTAAGTATATGATTAAAATATTTAGGAATACATGTCAGCGTGTTAGAAGATATGAAACGAAATCTCCAGCTGTTTTCACAAACAGCCTCACTGCTATGCATATATTGTCACATTGTGTATACGTATATATTGCCACATGATATATGTATTGTATCGTGTCATATAGACTGTAACACGTTTATGTACATCTGTCTATCGTCACACAGGCAGTGTTTGGTGGTCCCCACCTCCTCAGAAGGTTATCAGTTGTCGGGCAGTCGTCGATGCTTAACCACAGCCGGGGTTAAGGTGGATTATCACTTACAGTGTAATCAGTTAGGGGATTCTGCAGACTGTATAGGAGGGTTCAGACTCCTGATGAGTAAGTCGGTGAAACTCCGACGAAACAGCTTGTCACTGCTCCTCATTTGTTGTCCTCTTCTCCCTCGCTGCCTACGGTTTAAGGGGCAGCTCTGTTTGACGATATATTGTTGTCCTCTTCTCCCTCCCTCTCTGCCTACGGTTTACCGGGCAGCTCTGTTTGACGATCGTCAAACAGAGCTGCCCGGTAAACCGTAGGCAGAGAGGGAGGGAGAGGGAGAAGAGGACAACAAACGACCGAGGGGGGGCTGTGACAAACTGTTTCGTCGGGGTTTCACCGACTTACTCATCAGGAGGCTGAACCCTCAACAGTCTGCAGAATCCCCTAACTGATTACACTGTAAGTGATAATCCACCTTAACCCCGGCTGTGGTTAAGCATCAACGACTGCCCGACAACTGATACCCCTGAGGAGGTGGGGACCACCAACCACTGCCCTCAAGGTACCTGTGACGAAAATCAAAGCAGACTATCACTCACCCACACCAAACAGAGCTGCCCGGTAAACCGTAGGCAGAGAGGGAGGGAGATATATATATATATATAGCTAGATAGATATGTGATTATCACACAGCTATGTACATATACTATTGTCACACACGTGTATATGTATACATACGATTTTGCAACACAACTGTCGACTATCTGCAACGTTTCCTTTCTTGGTCCCCGGCATCCTAACACTAGGACTTGTTCGACTCAGCTCTGGACGTGATCGCAGTCAGATGCATCCTGGTCCAGCCGTGATTGCTGTCAGATACATTTAGGAAATGGCTATTGTACCAACTGGCCTAGCTCAGTTGGTCCACCCCTCAACTGTTGAAATACAGACACCTGAGTTCCAACTCCACAAGAAGCAGATGAATAGCATACTACAATTCTGAAATATCTAACGCCGGTCAGTTCGATGATGACATCTCAAGGCCGTCTCCCTTCAAAAAAAAAAAAAAAAAAAAAAAAAAAAAAAAAAAGTGCTAGTGTGAGTGAGTATGCCCTCAGAGACTTTTAATGCAACCACACTTGGCTTAGTTTTCTGTGCTCGTAAACATTACGTGAAAAAAAAAAACAAAAAAAAAGAATAATCAGAAAAAAGGCCTGTGTGAAAAATGCCTGCAAATAATGGCGTTCTTGCACACTCTACCACAAACACTCTTAAAAGTGATTTTTTTTTTTCAAGTGCAAATTATTTTTTCTCAGAAAACAATTTCCGAAAAAGTAAACACTATTCAAGTAAAGTCTACATTCATTTTCAAAACGTGGTGTACATTCCTTTCTTCGCACTTGGTCCTGTTCTTGTACATCGCTACCTACATAAAGGAAGAATATTCATATTAACAAGAATTTATATTCATCTCTTCCTCTATGTACAACATTATATTCATCTTTTCGTTTTATGTCCAAAAAAAAAGAAAAAGTACTAAGATATGATTAAACCGTTAAATAGTGAGAATGCTGACATACTGTAAGTAACAAAAATATCAGTTGCAAAACGTTGATATGCTATATAGAACACGTAGATATATAAATATACGATATATTATATATTCATATCCGTATATAAACATATATACTACACATACATACACCCTAACATAGGCCTCCTTTTTCTTTCCCCTACCGTGTGAGAATGACGGTAGATTTTTCCTCTCATTTCCGCATAGATCAACGACAAACCCGTAATAAAAAAATAATCATACAAAAGTGGTCGGCAGCATAGCTGCATATAAAATATATATGACGATATATACACATAGAGATAATATATCGAATATAGTCATATATAGAAAATATATATAGACAGACAATATATATATATACATACATATATATCCTTCTGGGTGCTAAAGTCAATATTCTCCCGTATGTGCTCTGGACCATACTGGCCAGCGAACGTAGGACCAATTGGCGAGCTACGTATTCACTGACTGACATTTTTATTTTTAATCTATTTCTTTTCCAATCGATTTCTTTTTCAATCGATTTCTTTTCTCCAACAAATGTCATTCAGAAGCACCCAAGGGCAAACAAAAAGCATCAAAAAAACAAAAAAAAAAGCATCAGACATTGAACTTACAAGTATGAAGACATTCGACAACAGTCGTTGCCTCTTCGAACAGCCTGCCGCATATTGGGCACTTGAAACATTCGAAGATCGGCGCCCGGGCCCGCCGCACTTTCGGCTTCATCTCTCTCTCTCTCTCTCTCTCTCTCTCTCTCTCTCTCTCTCTCTCTCTCTCTCTCTCTCTCTCTCTCTCTCTCTCTCTCTCTCTCTCT